CAGGATTTATGTAGATCTCCTTGGGCACGAAAAATTAGAAATTTATTGACATTCTCTTTTGATATATAGTTCAATCTCCTAATTTCAGAGTTCGTTCCACCATTCCCACAATTCACCTTCGCACCTACCGAACAAGACATGAAGACTACCCCAAGAACTCCATTTGACCCTCAAAAATTAGTTAATTCTCAATCGCCCAATGTAGACGAATCAGCCGACACGATGTTTGAGCAGTTGATGGCATCCACTTCTACTTCTCCTGCTCCTACTTCTGCTTCCATTCGTCCAATCCTAGAATCTACAAGAAAGCCTCCAGACTTCCCTTCTCTAATTATTTTACCAAAGAGTTGGGAGTACAGCGAAAATATGGAGAGCAATGAGGTGCTGGACCGAGGCGAAGTTACCGCCACCCCCTTAAAGCAATATCCTGAGCCATGGAGGACGAGATCACCACCTGATAATGTGTACAAGCCTGCACTGCCAGTTATGGGTTATGTGGAAACCCGTGTGGAAGCTCCTTCCATCCCTGTGTATCCTGTTATCGTACCTGGACAATCAGCTGAGAAGGTCAACACTAACCATAACGCTGAAGCGGTTATCCCACCTATGACAATCCCACCCGGCAAAGGTGATGCTGTAGCGGTTACCTTACCACATTCGAGTAACCCCACCTCCAACAACATTGGTAATACTGGAACATTTGTCCTGCCCAATCCAGTTTACCTGGGTGCCAACACCAACGGGCATTCTGTGGCATCTAACCTACCCAATGCGTTTTACCTGAGTACGAACAACAACGGTAATAGTGGAACAGTCAATTTACCTATGGCTGTTCATGGCAATAACAACGGCAATGTGGAAGTAGCTACCTTACCCAATCCCGTTTATCTAAGTACCAACAAAAACATTAATTCGGGAACAGTTACCGTGCTCAACCCGGATTACCTAGGTGCCAACAAAACCAATATTGAAAAGATCACCTTAGCCAAGCCAGTTTATCTAACTGCCGGCTCCGAAACCAATAGTTTACCCGTTCCAACCCAAAATCCGGAATGGGTAGAACATGGATTGCGGGCGTTCCAGCAAGTTATGCAACAGAACCAGTTAACAACAACGGATACCCCTCTCGTAATAAAAATCATCACAAGACCTGATGAAAACTCAGCTGAGCAGTCTGAAGCTCCAGAGCCTTTTGGAACGCAAAATACAGAAAATCCTATAATAAAAGTTTTCCCGGAAGGTACTTCCCTACCAGCAGCGCAGCTAACTTCTGCGGAAATGGAAGGCGGTCCCGCACTAAACAAGAAAACGGTACGTTTTTTGGAACGCAACTCTTAAAATAGAAGAAAGCTAGGAAATAAGTGTAGTAGTTATTGCTTTTCCATTTGATTTCCTTTATGCACATAACGTGAGATAAAGATCATAACAATTTGACTTACAGTATCTATTTATACATAGGATCTATCTTTGAATCTTATTTACAGATCAACCTCACCTATGCCTCTCCTTGTCATACTCCAATCATCGATGATAATATTGTAATAATGTGCGAGCTGGATGAAGTTACGTGCCCGGCGGAAACTTTCTGTCAAATAGGAGACGGCCAGAGTATTTGCTGCCCAAAACCGGGTTAGTTTGATGAAATTTGTGTTTTGCTCAAAATCTGTGAGTTAAAAGTTAAAAATTTGAATTATTCTGTAAATTCTCAACCAGTGTATCCCTTCTTTTTATAGATGATAAGTTGGAAGCAGAAAGAAAAGATAAACGTTTATAAATTCATCCTTTTTAGGAAAATTCCTAGGAAATGATATACTTTGTATTTAGTAACAACATGGTAATTTTCATTGTACTTTAA